TGTGGGTTTCCGCAGAAGGGAGCTGTCCTAAACGCCTTTCTCTTATGGATACAGAAAGTCCCCCTACATCACTCCTCAGTTCCCTGGTCTGTTTAGTTATGTAGCCAAAGGGGGCGCTGACAGGCTCCCACTGGGTCCTGGCTCATCCTCTGGGCTCTGACTTGCACACCTGCTCTCCGTGCGTGTGTGTTAGTCACTCAGTTGTGTCCGACTCTTTGCAACCCCATGAACTGCAGCCCACCAGGCTCCTCTGTCCTTGGGATTCTCCGGGCAAGAATACTGGAGTGGGTAGCCATTCCCTTCTCCACGGCATCTTCCAAACCGGGGGTCGAACCCAGGTGTCCTGCATTGCAGGCAGATTCTTGACCATCTGAACCACCAGGGAAGTCCACCTACTCTCTCCTTTTCGCTAATTCACCAGCCAAGCCCTTCCAGGCTGTGTGTGGACCAGCAACTTCCTCTTCTGACCCTGCACCCTCCATGGAGCCCGAGAGCCTGGGATTGTGCTGAGCTGGGCACTGGGGACCTGTGGAGAGTGCCTATCCTCCCTTCCTCCTGGGCTCCCGGGGCCCTTTCCTTGAGTCCTCACATTGCTGCCCCTTGGGTGGGCATGCTGGCTGAGCTCTGGGGCTGGGCCACTGCCTGACACCCCTCTCCACCCCCCAGAACCCCAGGTATGCAGGCACTGGGCCCATCTGGGAAAGAGTTGCAGGAGGAGGAATCAGACATTCAGGGAGCTCAGCTTATCCATGAGCCTGACCCTGCCGTCCTGCAGACAGTGCCTCGCTGTGGGGTCAGCATCCCCTCCTGGAAAATTTAATTATCCTCCTGTCCTTCAACCAGACCCAGGCTACTACCTTAGAGGAAAAGCAGCCATTGCTTTATTTATCCTAGACTCTTCTGAGAAACCTCTGCTCTGGAGCTGCAGGGGAAGCTGACAGTGGGATCCGGAGGGCTCCTGTCTCCGAACCCCCCTCAGGAGAGAGAGCTCGCTCCCTGGGGGGAAGGGGTGGTGAGGGTAGTGGCCAGGAGCGAGGATGCAGGAATTGAGTCAAGGTGCAGCCGGGGGCATCTCCATCTCGAGGTATAAAGATTGATGTGCTGCCCGCCTGCCAGAGGAGGGCAACAGGAGGGAGAGACACAGAAGGCAGGGCAGAGAGACCACGGGTTCTGTAGCTGTTCAAGTTGGTCAGCTCTGGGCTGGAGGGCTGAGCTGGGAACTGAAGTGCGTTCTGACCCAGATCGGGTGCACTGTGCATTTTTTGTCATAAACATCATGGATCTCCGCATGGTAATGGGAAAGGAGACCCTCTTGGAGAAGCTACCTCCCCCCATGTCAGGGATGAGGGGCCCTGAAGGAGCCTGAGGTTTCCTTGCAGGACTGAGACGAAGCCAGGGCCGATTTCACAGGCTATGTTTGATGGAAAGATGCTACGCTACTTGGGAAAATGCAATAAATAGCACAGAAGGTGGAGGTGAACACGTGGGCCCCGTCCCCTCTTGTGTCTCCCAGTCCCCTGCCCAGAGCAGGGCTGACTCTGTCACCTCAGAGACAGTCCCCCTGTCACCCTCTGTTCCTTAAACACAGAATTGCATGCTGTAAAAACTGTTCTGTGCTTTTGAGAGACGTATCAGTACATCCTGGTGACTGCTTCATCTCTGTCTATGCGGACCTGCCTCATTCATTTTCACCACTGGGTACCCCTCTTCACCCACCCCCAACCCTGGGATTTCTCTAAGCCTCTGTGGATCCATGTCAGGTGACAACAGTCTTTGGCTGCTGCAAACAATAAATATCTGTGAGCAGACACCCTTCCCGTCACTGCAAGTGCGTTTGTAGGACAAATCACCGCAGTAGACTTGCTGGGTAGAGCAGCGCAAGGTTTGAACTTCCCGTAGGTGCTTGAAGCCACCATTTATGGGGAGGTCTGCTCCAGCCCTGCCTCTGTGCAGAGAGTGTCTGGGTGGCTGGTGTGTGGGCTCCATGTCACCCCATCGTCCACATGCCCCCCAGCGACAGTCGCTCTGTGTGCTTTGCAATTTCCGTCTCGAGTTCCCCCCATCCATCCCCACCCCCACGTGTAAAGCTGGAGCTCACACAGCTCCCAGTTAGCATCTTGGGAGCTGGCAGCCTCCCAGCCATGCTGGCAGGCTCAGGGGCAGAGGCATGGGCTCCCTGACTCCCACGGCCCAGCTGCCCAGGGCTGGATGCAGGAGGGATTCAATCCCCAGGACCCTAGGCATGTCTGGATCCTGAGCCTTTGCTCTCAGACCCACCCCTTTCCCTGCTGGACTCAGCATCCTAGGGCTGACCAGTGCTGGCTGCCCCTTGGGGCTCTGGCAGGAGATGGGAGGGGTGAGGCCAAGTGCCATCTTCTCTCCCTGAGCCTCAGGCAGCTTTCCTGGCAATGGCCTTGTCTCTGCAGCCTCCTGCTGGCAGCTCCTCCGGCCCGTGGCCCTGGCTTCCCCAAGTGACCCTTGACCAGGGCAGGTGGCGTCTGGCTGTGATTAATTAATACCTGGGTCACACCATCATTCCTGTGGCATCTCTGTTCCCCTTTGCAAACATTGCCCTGAATTAAATTTCTCATTTTTTTTTAAAAAGGCTAAAGTAGTTATTGTCTTCCCAGTCAGCCTCAGACTGGTACACAGCTGTATGACTGAGTGGAGATGGTTAAGACAGCCCCAGGGGCCTGGTCTGGGTAACAAGGGAGTGAAATGGCTCAGTCCTAGTCCCCAGCTGACTCTTCTGATGAGGTGACTAGCCTAAGGAAGGCAGGTTGATGACATCTTTTTAAAGACATAGGACCCAAGTCTTCGTGCATCTGGTGGGGAGAAACCCCACCAGTGCACCCCTCTAGGCCACGATGGTACCCCTCAAGCAGCCAAGAAGCTCGGGGCTCTGGTCTCATCTCCACCACTGGAACGTAGTGAAAGTCACCTGCAGTCTGGACTCCATGCAGAGCGTGTTTTTAGTGAAACCCACAGCTGGTTAAGCCCAGGGACTGTTGTCAAATCTCCGCTGCCCAGTGAGCCACATGCCCCTCCTGTCCAGGGCTGAAGGAAGGCACGTGGTTTAGCCAGGGTCAGAGCAGACCAGGGGAAGGGCAGGCTCCATCAGAGCCTGGGTCCCAGCAGAAGGGAGACCAGAAGGCAGGATGGAGCTGGCCCTGCAAAGAGCCGGGGGTGACAGAACACGGGGTCCAGGAGCACTGAGGGGCTGAGAGCATCTGCATCCAGGCTGCCCCAGCAAGTGGGCTGCACACTCTCCGATTGTCCCCACTTATCCTTCACTCTGCTCGGCCACAGGTTCCCTTGACAACTGGCTTCCTGCCGAGCCCAGCCAGTGGGAGGCAGGCATGGAGTTAAACCCGGCTGCTCTCTGTTCAGATGCTCCTATGCCGCCCATGGCCCCTCCGTGGTCCCTGCTCCCTCTGTACCACCCTCCCCCCTTGGCCCCAGCTCAGGGGACAGACCTGTTGTGTTTCCAGCTCTGCCAGTGGTCCTGGCTCTGCTCACATCACCCCCTCCCATTGTCCTTCCCACCCTACAAGGGTAGAGGTTCTTGCTGTGGCTGTTCTCTGGGGACTCTCACCATCATCTCCTTTTCCAGGGGTTCCCATACTTTGTCACCCACTTCCTATGTTCAGTCCCCTCCATTGAATTCCTTGGAAGGCCTTCCTTTCCTGTGTGGACCCTCCTGAAAGAGCGAGTGAGTAAGGCGGTGAGGCAGAGATGCTGGCGGGACGGAGCACTGGGGGCCTTGCAGACCCGGGCAGGAACCAGGATTTCATTCAGGATGCAAGGGTGCCCAGGAGATGGGTGAGCTCAGACCCACATCTGCTGAGTGGAGACTTGGCTGAAGATGGGGTGCAGTGGGGGAGCAGCGAGGCAGTCCAAGAAGTAGAGCAGGTTAAGACAGAGGCTCTGGAAACTGAGGATAAGGAGATATATGCCTACATATTAGCAGAGGAGCCGACAGGACTGGGTGGGGATGAGCTCTGAGAGGAGAGGGAGGACCCGGAATGACTCTCACGTCTAGGTCTCCCCTCCTGTCCCCCACAATCACCTCCAGCGAGGCCTCTGATTATTTACATCAAAGCCTGATCAAGCTCAGAACTTATTTATTCACTCATGCATTTATCAGTATCTGTTTGTGCCTTTGTTCATTATCTGCTTTCCCTACTGCAGGTTAAGCCCCAGGCTTGGCACTCAGCAGGTGCCACTTAATACATGCTTGCTTGCTGCCGATGGGGGTCCAGGCCATCTGGGGGCAGTCCAGTACTGCCTCGCCAGCTGTGCAGTGATGGGCAGTCACATTTATTCAACATGAGAACCAGGATGCCCACTCAGCCTCCTTTGCTGGTTTGGTGCCTATATAGAGTAGATGCCAATAAAGGCACTTCTGTTCTCCCCATCTTAACCATCCAATCTGCTGTGAATGTTTCACGGCCCCAGGTGAGTCTGATCTTTGGTTCATCTCTCGAACATCTAGAGTTTGCCAGTCCTTGTCAGATGCTGGGGATCTGGACAGGAGCAAGACAGACAACCCTTGTCTCCATGGACCTCACCACTAGAGTGCACCCTGCTTCCGATCCAGGAGGTCTTCTCCTGTTCTCTCTTTCTGCTTCCAGTTGCATGCTGGGGCCAGTGTGAAGCCCGCTTTCCCTCCTATCCAACTTCACAAGGCACAGGCTGTTGGCAGCTTACAGTGGAGCCATGTTTAACACAAGTTCACTTAACACGCTGGCAAACCAGTGGGCTGAACATGTGTTAAAGTTATCAAGCTCTTATATAAAAAGAGAGGGGGAGTAAACCCTTCAGGCAAGCAGAATCTCTCAGATTATCCCACCACCAACACACACACCATTCTGCTCTGTGGATTTGACAGCTGTTTTAAACCAGAAAAATCTGAAGACCCCAGCTTCTGCGGGCAGCTCCCTCCTGTGGTCTGCCTCAGCGTTACTCAGACTACTGTGCTGAAGAATGATGAGGTTACCTGCACAGACCATGGTTTGTAGGGGACCTGAGAGGTTTTCAAAGGTCCTTCTGATCACCTCTCATTTTCCCCTCATAGGCTTGCTTTATCATGCAAGTGCCATGTAAAGTATGACCTTTTGATATATTAATAGCTTGCCTTACACTCTATATAAGCATTTTGAGACTGGCTAACCAGGATGATAGCTCTGCTCAAGGGAGGGGCTTTATCTCATTTTTAAAGTGTTCCATATTGTGGTTGGCTTAAAGCTGGCTTTGGTTGGGTTGGTAAAAGTTGTGATGAAGAGTTGGTTGACGGTGAGTTTTGATTAACGGTAAGGTTGGTTGATGGGTTGAATTGGTTGATAATAGAGTTGGCTGATGGTGGGGTTGATTAACAGTGGGATTGGTTGATGGTGAGATTAGTTGATGGTGGGGTTGGTTGCTGGTGAGATTGACAGATGATGTGAGGTTGGTTGATGGTGTAGGATTGGTTGATAATAAAGTTGTTGATGGTGAGGTTGATTGATGATGAGGTTGGCTGATGGTGGGGTGGGTTGATGGTTGAATTGGTTGATAATAGAGTTGGTTGAGGGCTTCTGTGGCAACTCAGATGGTAAAAAAAGTTACTGCGATGCAGGAGACCCAGGCTCGATCCCTGGGTCAGGAAGATCCCCTGGAGAAGGGAATGGCTACCCACTTCATTATTACTGCCTGGAGAATTCCATGGACAGAAGAGCCTGATTGCAAGGAATTCTTTGCATGGGGTTGCAAAGAATCAGACTGAGCAACTGACACTTGAGCTTTTTCACAGGGTTGGTTGATGGTGAGGCTGCAGGGCATATGGTTCAGGACTGGGTAGCTGTGGCTATGAGGCTAGGGCTGGACTCCCATTTATCAGAAGCACTAGGCAGAGCCTGTGTGCAGAAAGCAGGTAAAGATTTCAGTGAGTGTGGCTGGCCAGGTATAGCCCTCACATCTGGAAGCTTTTATGCTGTGCAGTGAACCTCACATGAGCCCACAGGAAGCTCACTAGAGCTCTGTGAATCGAGGAGGTAAAGTTTCATTATTTCTCTAAGAGGTATACACACAGTGATGTACATTAAATACATCTTTTATGGTGAATCAGTGGGGGAGTCAGGGGAAGAGACTCGGGGACTCTTTCTACCCTGAAACCTTCAGCAAATGAACCCTCATTTTCAGCAGTACCTGCTGTTCTCAGAGCTGTGGGTGATCAGGCAGCGGAAGTTTCAGGAACATGATCTCTGTCCTCAAAGAGCCCCCCATCTCTCTGGGAGAGAGAAGACTCCCCCCATGAAATGTGATTGGTGTCAGAGAGTGGGATGCTCGCACTGTGGGGATGGGAGATGTTTGGGCAGTAGAGCGATGAACAGGGAGGGAGACAAGCTGAGACCTCAGGATGCAGAGGCCTCCACGCGCAGAAGTTGCGCTCTGGGGCTAGACTAAGGAGGGGGCTTCCCAGTGGCAACGGGGTGAGCATGTCACCAGGGCCAGCCTACCTTGTTGATACAGACATGCAGCTATATTTCATTTGCTGGCATTTCCATTGGTCATTTAAGTTAATTTCAATTTAGTGAGTGCTGCCGAGGTCAACCTTAGTTTCCAAGAACAGTTGATGGCCTGCTGATGTCTATAAACTCTGGTAACCAACACTTCACACCTTCTCTAGGCAAGGCTCATTGTAACAGTGACGAGACACCTTTACTGTCTTATGAGACATCAAGGAAAAATGATCTATGCAGTATAATGTTAGTGAGTCCTCTTTGAGTTTTCATTTCTGTTTCTCAAAAGCATCACTTGAAGTAACGGCACTTCCAAAGACGTACTCACTTCCCCTCCCCCAAAGAGTTTGAGAAATGCCAAGTTTGACACAGCTCTCTCTCTCAATATATATATTCACCTGTAGGATTTCTCAGAAGCCTTAGATTGCTTATATTCACCAAAACATCTTTAAAGGCAGATAGAGAGTGCAACTTTTCTGAAACTTATCTAAAACCAGAAACATCATTTCACAGAAGACCAGTGACAACATCTCACAGGAATTAGAGTGTTGAGTGATACCGTGTGGGAGCGTGGCTCCAGGAATATATTTCCGTTTGCCTTCCTAGGGGATCTGATGACTCGGAGCACTGTGTGTTCCATCTGCAGATGGGGAAGTTTAGGATCCAAGATCTTGGGATGGTGCTGAGAAGGAAGGCTGCTGGAGGAACCCACTAGTGGCCCCACCCGCCTAGGAAGCTTGCTGTGCTGCAAAGATAGGAGTTACTCACAAGGGCCCTGCCTTGACATCTAGGGCTGCTGGGTCCAGGCTTCAGCCTCCCCTGTCTCCCTTCAGCCAGAGATCTGAAATGTTTCCTGACCCCTGGGATGAGTTGAGTGACTCAGATCTGAAGGAAGTAGACCCCATTAAGTGATGAGTCCTCAGGCATAGACCTGCTGGCTCCCAAATTGTTCCTTGTGATCCACTTACTTTTCCTGGTGAGGCCTCCTGTGCCTGTAGCATTTCCCTCATCCTGGCCAACAGCCCTTTTACAGATCCCAGTATTTCCTCCTTTTGTTCCTGGTTAGGTCCCAGGTGGCTCAGTGGTAAAGAACCTGCCTGTCAATGCAGGAGATGCAGGTTCATTCCCTGGGTTGGAAAGATTCCCTGGAGGAGGGCATGGCAACCCACTCCAGTACTCTTGCCTGGAGAATCCCCATGGACAGAGGAGCCTGGTTGGCTACCGTCCATGGGGTCACAAAGAGTCAGACGTGACTGAAGTGACTTAGCATGTATGCTCAGGTCCCAATGAATAGGGAAGAAGGTTGTTTAGCTGGAGGTCAAGGTTCTGGCTGTCCTTGATGTCCGAGGCTGGACACAGATGCAGAACGAACTCCAGGCTGGGTCTTTGATGCTGATGGAGGAGCCATGAGCCCCAGGAGGAAGTGCACTGCAGCGACTTCTGTGGGAAGCTGGTCTTCCAGTTGTGTGGCTTAGAGAGCACAGAGTTTCTTGGATCCCAGGTTCAAATGTGTGTGACCTTGAGATGCTAGCTCCTGGAGTCTTGGATTGGTCTCTTAAGTGAGCGGTGGTTTCTGTCACCATCCTTTGTGACTTTGCATCCACTTAATCCACTTGAGTTTGTTTATGCTCTATTTGACATCAGGGATAATAGCAAACCCTTTATGTCACTCTGAGCATTTTACATGTGTAAATTCATTCCTAGGTCATTGGCTGGGGACAAGGGCATGTTGCGACTTGAACCAGGGCTTATTGGTCAGGCTCTTAAGCAAACACTACATCTCCTGGGCAGCTGTGGATGTCACATTCTAGATAGGGAGGCACGGAGCAGGCAGGCTGAATGGGAATGGGTGGGAGAGGCGTAGGCAGTAGAGGCACAGAGACTGATGGTGGAGGAATCTGAGTGATTGGTGGAGCCCTTTGGCGCATCTGAAATGGACAGAACCAAGGGCCAACAGCAAAGGACTCGCCCTCTTGATGGCAACAGCGGGGCATCTGGCAGAGGCAGGGACTGGCAGTCACCACCAACTCAGAACGGCCCGATGACTACTTGGTGCTCAGCTGTGCATTAGCCCGGGACCCCTTCCAGCCGGAACCGTCCGGCCCCCGCACCACCCCCCGCCCCCAATCAGGCTCGGGCGGCACAGACTTGGCTCTGTCCCCCTGTAGGAACCAGACTAGATGGCTGACCACCTCCGCTCTGCTTCCCGCACAGCTCACGCGCGGACACCAGGTGGCGCTCTCGTCCATCAGCTACATCGGTTGCTCGCTGTCCGTGCTCTGCCTGGCCGTCACGCTGGTCACCTTCGCCGTGCTCTCGTGAGTCATCTTCTGCCCTCCGCCGGGGCCCAGGAGGTTGGGCAGCTTCGTGCGAATGTCAGTGCCACCCCTGCCCACCTCGGTTTCCCTTCTGGCACTGTACTAGGGTTGGGGGCTGGGGCAGCAAATGCGGGCCTCTGTTTAGATTCTGCACACGGTGTGTGACAGGGGGGTGGTTGTTCCTCAAGTACCTTTTCTTTTGAAATCTGGGGTGTGGGGGGCCTGTGGGGTACTGGAAAAGACTGAGGAGAGAGGAGAGGCTGTCCAGTTGGAGGGCACCTGGCTTGAGCTAAGCTGGAAAGTTCTGGAAAGTTCCCCAGCCCAAAGGGCTTTCTGGCCTTTGACCAGGAAAGAGCCAGAACAGAGGACCACCCCCCGCCCCCGACCCAAAATATCATCAAATCAGCCGGATCCTTGTGGGGCTGGGCTGCGGGAAGCCCCAGGGGTAAGAACCCTGGAGGACTCCTTCTGGCTGAAGTCACATCAGTCTGGTCAGAGCTTGAGGGGATCCCCCCAACCCCCACCACCGAGTGGATACTGGCAGCTAAGTTTGCCCATGGGTCTTTCAGGACTGGGACAGAAAAATAAGATCAGAGCCGAGAGTCTGGGCAGTCAGCCGGGAAGATGGGTTTGCACGCTCCCCTCAGGGCTGTTGGACCTCCAAGGAGGGCGTGTTACTCACACCTGGATGGGCCTCAGTCTCGAGGGGTGCTCAGGTGCTTCCTCTGCTCACGGGGTTCCTCCTGGAAGTTGGCACCCCTCCTCACCTGCCCTGTTCCCTGAGGACACCGGTCACCTGGGTGACACTGTCTAGGGGCGTCCCGGGTTTGGTTGGTCCGGGGGCTGCAGCCACAATGGCAGGGGGAGGCTGTTAGCTTCCCGGGCCCCTGCTGCAGCCCACCAGGGACCTGGGCACTCTGGGGGGTGGAGCGGGGGTTCCCACTGTACACAGGAACTTCTGGTGGGATCTGAGCCAGATGAGAGGAGATGGACGTGGGTTTGGAGGGCCCCAGTGTTAGGCTCAGGATGTTCCTGCTTTGATTCTCTTGTTCCTCAGCTATTTGCTCAGCAAGTCCAAACCCATCACCCCCCAACTCCAACCCACCCAGGCCTATAGTCACCTCTGAGGACACAGTTGCACCCAAGACAGTAAAAGCGTGCCTGATTGGGGGTGGGGGTGGGAAGCAGATGACAAGTGAGGATGCGAAGGCCTGAACACACATCTCCACAGCCATCCGAGCCCTGAGGGCAGTTCAGAGAGGAAGTGGGGCTCCCTAAGGCTCAGGAAGTTCTCTCCGAGGGGAAACCTGGGGAAGGACTTTACTGCAGAGTAATAGCTGGTACAAAGACCCCGAGGATGGAGTGGGCTGGGGATCTTGGAGAACCAGAAAAGAGGGTCTGTGATCAGAGGAAGGAAAGAGCTGAGTCTGAGTGATGGGCAGGGGTCAGGTCCTGCAGGGCCTGTGGAATGAGCTGGGTCATTTCCAAGAGTAATAGGGAGCCGTTGAGTGTTCATAACCAGAAATGGCAGCAACCAGGCAGGCTTATTAAGACTTCCTTGGTGGTCCTTGGAGGAGCAGTAGGGGGCAGTCACAGCTGAGCTGGTGCCTCTCTGCCCCCAGCTCGGTCAGCACCATCCGGAACCAGCGTTACCACATCCACGCCAACCTGTCCTGCGCCGTCCTGGTGGCCCAGGTCCTGCTGCTCATCAGCTTCCGCTTTGAGCCGGGCACGGTGAGTGCGTCCCCTGGGTCCTGATGTGTCCACAGTGGGCCTCCCTCCCATCCCCTCCTCCCTCCACCAGGAGGACATCAGCAGGGGTGGCACCTGCTGGTTTCAACTTGGAATTCAGACCACCAGATAGCCAGGCTGTGGTTCCTCTGGGAAAGACAGGGAAGATGACTGGCATGAACTGGCCTTCCTGCTCACATCAGTCTTTGTAATGAAGACAGGTACAGCCCTGACTACGTGTTGGGCGTTGTGCTGAGGGCTTACATAGATCCACTCAGTTAATCCTCATAACAAGCCCAGGAAGTGATGCCACAGAGGCAGGATTGAGGCAAAGAGGGTTACAGTGACTCGCCCAGGTAAGTGCCGACCAAAGTCTGACCTCGTGCAGTCTTGCTGCAGACACTGCTCTCCATTTCTGCTCTGACCGCACACAGCCACACCCCTCCTCTGCCTGCCCAGGGCAGGTGCTCTCCACAAAGGGACTGTGAAGACCTAGATCCACATTTCTGTACCCTTTGAATCAGGTAGGGAATCCTCCGGGGAACTAGGGGGTCTTAGATCTCACAGAAAGTCAAGTCCTGAGACTAGAGTGACCCAGGCTTGGGTGATGTGGGTTATAAGCCTGGTTGATGGGAAGAAGAAGCAGAGATGGGCTTGTTCTACACTAGGAGAGAAGGAGAACCGAGCAGTATGAATCAGTGGCCCTAGGTGGGATACAATCACACTTGGCTAAAGGGAGATGAACTCTTTATCTCCCTAGGTGAGGGTTAGCAGAGCCTCTTATCCTCATAACCAGTAGGGTCCTCAGTCCACCTGCCTGTCCTGGAGCTTCTGCCTAAGGAGAGATCCACTCTCCTCTGCTCGCAGGTTTAGGGGTTCATCCAAGCATCTAAGAAGTTCTTGGCTGTGCCGTGGACAGATGAGCCTGCACCAGCCTCATTCTCTCCTACTGAATGCATTTCAAACTCCACTGTGGATCAGCACATGGGATTTTCTTAAAATGTAGATTCGGGTTCAGCAGGATCTAGAGTTCCTGTTTCCATCCAGCATCTGGGTGATGCTGATGCTGTTGGCCCAAGTCACGCTGAGAGGAGTGAACTCCCATGGTGTGATGGCAGCAGGAGGGAAAGTGGTCCAGGCAGTCATGGTCCAGATGGTGACCCTAGGGGCTGGGAGCCTTCTCCCTCTCAGAGCCCATGTATGTGAAATCCCAGGCAGGGCTCCAGTGGGTGGATCTGCTTGAGTGATCCACCCACTGGATGACCTCTGAGACAGTCAGGAAAGGTGACTGTGGTGGCTGGTCTCATCAGAGCCTCTGTGTGTGTATAGGGGGCGAAGGTGGTCCCCAGACGAAAGGGGAAGCTGGTCCTAAAAGACACAGAGCCATGAGTACTGGGACCACAAAAATAATAGATATGTCCCATATTTATATCTAACTTTGACAGAGCCTGATGACAAGAAACACAGCATTTTAGCAACTTGTTCCTTTTTCTTCCCCTAAGAAATAACTGTCCAGGGGCCTTGGGAGGACAGGACATAGAGCCCCCACAGAGATGGTTGTTCTTGTTTTCATCTTTGTTTTCCTCCCTGACTCCTGGCTCCCTGGCCCTTTGATCTGAGCTTAGGGATGGGTGGCTGTGAATTTACAGAGAGCATAGGGGCTGGGGGGTGGGGGGCGGTGTGCGAAATTTCTGATTGAGGTCCTGGGGAGAATCTGAGGCCACATGGCTGAGCCTGAAGCTGCGGCCATGACCCCAGGAGCAGGAGGGACCAGATGCCCCGTGATGCTCTGAACAGAGGAGAGGCGCACACCTGCCCTGGCCGGCTAGTCAGAGAGAAGGCAGGTGGGCCTTCTGGATGTCAGTGCCCTGAAGAGCCAAGAAAAGCAGGCATGACAGGTAGTTTGTACATCTCTGTGTGTTACACACCTGTTTGAGAGTAAACTCCAGGGAAGCGGCTGTGTCACTCAGGCCGTTCAGCTCCAGGTAGGTAACCAACACCTTGAAGTGGAGAACTAAAACAGACACGTCACATGCTGATTTCTCTCTTCCCCTCAACTCCATTCCCCTCAACTCCATTCCCCTCGTACACTGCTCTGCAGCACCTCCCCGCTCCAGAGCCAAGCTTACTTCATAAGCTCCAGGCTAGGGGCCTTAGGTCCGGAGCTATAAGGGAAACCCGCTTGCTGATGGCTCCGCCCACTCTGGAGCGCTGGCCATCTACCTGGCCAGTCACATGCCCGCCCGGAACCAATCCTGTGGCAGGGATGGGGATATTTATGCTGATTGGCCGGGCCAATTCCCTGCCCTCTCATGAACCAATCACTGTGCCTGGGAGGGGTTCTGATTGGCTACTGCTTGAGTCACGTGCTCCACTCAAATCACACCCCCCCCCCCCGCCCCCGGAAAAGCAAAATGAGACTCTCCAGAAAGAAATGAAGCCACGTGACCATAAGGCACTCCCCAGAAAATCTGTGGAGGGAGGTTGAGACAACAGCGAACACCCGCTGCTCACACCCTGAGAGAACTTACTTTCTATGCGTCGCTTTGCTCCTAGGCCCCGTGCCAGGTGATGGCCATGCTCCTGCACTACTTCTTCCTGAGCGCCTTTGCGTGGATGCTGGTAGAAGGGTTGCATCTCTACAGCATGGTGATCAAGGTCTTTGGCTCAGAAGATAGCAAGCACCGCTACTACTATGGGATAGGATGGGGTAGGTGGGGATGAGATGGGGAGGTGGGGATGGAATGGGGCTGGAGGCAGAGGTGGGTTGCAATTTCATCTTCACGTGAAACACCTTGAAGAAGCCACGTGCTCTTAGTCTTGAACTTCCCCACACTCTTTTTCAAAAAAGTCAGTTCCCATGGGGAGTGCTTTGGAGTGTTCTATTCTAATGGTCGGCTTCCCTTCTGTCTAGGAAAGATCTCAGAGGCATACTCCTGAGCCAGTGCGGGAACAGTGGACTGCTTCTCTTGGATTGACACCCAGCTTTAGGGTGGGGCGCTGGGCAGGGGAGGTAGCCTCTAATGCCACAGTGTATGGGTGCCCTGGGGGGAGGGCGATCGGGTCCCTGTGTTCCCAGCCAGTCACACCCTGGGTGGACTCTGTAGACTGTGGGTTGTGGTTGGAGGCAGAAAGGAATTCCCGATCTCTGGGTTGCTGTTACCTGGAATAGAGTTTTTGCTCCATGGTGTTAAGGAGAATGAGATATGCAGGCAGTCTGCCCCAGGGAGGTATTGTGGCTTTGGATTGGGCCCTGGGGGAAGGAGTCTGTTTTGTTAGCCATGCCTGCCTGGAGTGGAGCAGATTGTAGCCCAGGTGTCCTAGTCTCTCTGTTTTACTCTCTATTTTTAGTAGGTTTTCTTGAATAAATTCTTCTTAATTTGCAGCAAGCCCTTAGGAACATTTACAGAGACTTTATACATGCTTGTGTTTTTTAAAAGCTAACTTTCATCAGTTATGGTGGTCCTTTATCCTGGGAGTTACCTTCCCATCGACATGATTCCTTTGCTGAACTTCCTCCTTGCCCATCTCGAGGTGGAGCCCCAGAACATAGGAGACCCTGCTTCCTGCCAGAGTAATGGACACCTGGCATTCTTGCATTTGCTCTAAAGCATTAGTCCATCATCAGGGAACTGCTACTCCTTTCTAGTTTTCTTGCAATAGATTTAATTTTCACAGTACTCGTGGTGCAGGGAGCAGACAAACATTTTATTTTGTGCTTTGAGCTGGCTAATGAAATGGAGAGAGAGAGGAGACTCGTGGGCCCCACTCAAGCATGACCGTCTCCTTCCATCCTGCTGTGACTCCCTGAAAGAGGCGGGTTGCTTCTGCCTTTGACTTCTGTCTTCATTTAGTAAGTGTTTACAGGATGATGTGTGATCAACCACCTGTGATGACTAGTTTTTTTTATGGAAATGGCCATACAGTTTAGATTTGTGTGTACGTGTCCATGCACGCATGTGCACATGCACACATACACACCCCATAGCCACAGCAAGGACGGTTGAAATGAATTAAATGTGGAATTTGTCTCTGCAGGGACAGGAGCCATCTATGCTGGTTCAGGGTAGAGGTGGGGGTCACAATCCAATCCAGCCATGAAGGATGGCTGCTTTAGCCTGCAGTGTATTAGAGGAAAAACAATGAAATATTTGCCAATATATAAAAATGGAGAAGTTTTACATAAGATTATGGGGTTCTTTTGAAAAATGAGGAGATCTGGAAACCCTGAGTTTCCATTCCTACTTGACAGCAGGGGCTGTGACTGTGTGGTTTCTGATCCCAGTGTCTTCCCTGTGGGTGTTCTTAGGCCTGCACAACCTCCATCAGAGACTCCCTGCAAACACAGGGCTGGGATGGGTTCCAGCAGGCCTGCCACCTCTGTCTCCAGTCTGCATCCCCTAAACTGATTTCATCAGGGCTCAGAACTGCACCCTTCCTTCAGATTGGTTAGACTTAGTTCTGGGCCTGAGTACATACAGTCTGCAGGTGGCTGGACTCTCTCTACCTGCAGTTATTAACGAGGAGGGAGCTAGAGGCTGACCCAGGGCCCTGGGAGGTCATACTATAGGAAGGATCCCCCAGAGAGAGGCCACTTCCCTAGAGATTTTCAGCCTGCTCTTACCGTGACCTTCAGACGGTATCATTTTTTGAAACTCAAGGATTGTGGTTTTAGCTGACTTGGAACTGGAGGTGTCCCATGAACAACCTACCCGAGGTTTTGCTGTATGTCAGGCCCTACGCTTGAACTTGTAAGGTGGGCAAAATGTAATGTCTGTCCTCACGGAGTCCACCTGGGAACTGGGAGAGGAGGTGAGTGATAAACAATTGAGTGTTTGTTTACGTGTTGGTGCAGGAGACACGAATCTCTGACCACAAATTCAGAAGTGGTCAGAGAACGATCATAAACTCAGAAGCGAAAGAAATGCAGCTTGCTTCATTTTTCTCTGTTATGACTTCATTTCTTTTGTGAGTGTCCACTCATCTAGCTTCCCTGGTAATTCAGATGATAAAGAATCTGCCTTCAGTGCAGGAGATCCCAGGTTTGATCCCTGGGTTGGGAAGATCTCCTGGAGGAGGGCATGGCAACCGACTCCAGTATTCTTGCCTGGAGAATCCCATGGACAGAGGAGCCTGGTGGGCTATAGTCCGTAGGGTGGCAAAAAGTCAGACATGACTGAGTAACTAACACTTTCACTTTCAGTCATCTAGGGTTGAAAACTTCATTGTAGTTCATTTTAGACCCTGCCTTTCTCTGAAATCATGCTGGTGTCCCAGGGAAGTGACACAGTACCAAGATCTTGGGAGGTGTGTGAGTCAGGACAGGCTAGATCATGCTGCCATAACAAGCTGCTTCCAACTCACATCGGTTGAAACCAGCGTTTATCTCCTGTGTACACTGTGTGTCCTCGGTGGGCTGGTGGCCGCAGAGGGGCTCTGCTCAGGGCGGTCCCTCAGCAGCCCAGGGTGATGGGGACGTTGCTGCCTTGAGCCATAGCTGGTTGCTGTGAGAGAGAAGATGGTCCGGGTGCTTATCACCCTGGAAATTAAACACTTAACCAATAGAGGCATGTGTCCCTTCTGCTCACAACTCACTGCCCAGAAGGAGTCGATGATCCAACAGCTTTGGATATGGAAGTGCAAACCTCTCACGTGCCCAGAGCGAGGCATCCAGAATACCGCCTCAGCGACTTCTACCAGAGGGTGGACCACTTGTCTCCTGGCATTGTTATCTCCCTGCCCCTTTCTGCTGAGACATCCCTGCCCCTGTGTTGGATTTCATATTATCCATCCTCTCCATGTGTTGCTGTGTGTGTCCAGGTTAATATTTCATAGCAGTGCTCCTTATGGTCACTCCTTACATCACCCCTCCACACTTCCCTGGATCTTAGGAGGCAACAGCCAATGTGATTACTCTGAAAGGCCACCACATTCCAAAGAGAACACTTCTTTCTTTACAAGATTTATTTATTACTTATTTTTGGCTGAACTGGGTCTTTTTGGCTGCGTGGGCTTTTCTCTAGTTGCAGAGAGTGGGGACTACTCTCTAGTTCTGGTGCATGGGCTTCTCATTGCGGCAGCTTCTCCTGTTTCAGAGCACAAGCTATAGGGCACGTGGGCTCAGTAGCTGCGGCTCCCAGGCTCCAGAGCACAGGCTCAATACTTGTGGTGGACGGGCTTAGTTGCGCCATGGCATGTGGGCTCTTCCTGAACTAGGGATTGAACCCATGTCTCCTGTATTGGCAGGTGGATTCTTTACCACTGAGCCACCAGGGAAGTCTAAAGTAAGCACTTCTTGAGCTCCATACAGTCAACATCCAGAGGACAGGGCCAGAGGGACTTCAAGTTGTTTGCAGAAGCAGGTCACGTGTCTGCATGGGTTATTGAGGTGTGAATTTCAGATGATGGCAACAGTGGAAAAGACATCTGAGTTTGTTAGTAATAGTGGAGATTATTGTACAGAGATGGGCTTTGTACATCAGTGCCTCCTTAATCACGTCCATGGCCTGAGCTCGTGTGGTCCTCACAGTAGCCTGATGTCGCCTCCATTTCCAGAGTGAGAACCTGGCGACCCAGAGAGGTTCAGCTGAGCCCTTGAGTCTGCACGGCTGGTCCAGGCTGGCCCTGGGGATAGAACCACGTGTCGTTTGGCTCCAAAGCCCAGGCTCTTCCTGCTGGCTGATGTCTGCATCCTGCTCCCACGCTTCTCTTCCTGCTGCCTGTGAATTTTTCTTCTTAACAACACCCTCACCTGATCCCCGTGGCTCCTGCAGCGCGTTTCAGAGAAAGCAGAGAGTGGAACTTGCCCTCTTCTCAGACCCTTCTAGTCACCTTTCGTGGCCTGTCCTCTGCAGGACACAGAGGATGCTGCTAGGGAAGCCATGACCAAAGACTGTCAGTGTTGCTTTGGGGATCGTGGGAGAAACACATCACAACACAGTTGTGAAGGTAGAAAAAGAAGCTTCAACTCTTCCATTTAACTCTGGGCGGTAGAGAGATGACAGCCTCTGACTTGGGCCCCCGCCATGGCCAAGATCAGCGGAGAGAGGTGTGGCAGCTCCAGGTGAAGCCTCAACCACTGAGTTTGAAAATCCATCCTCTCTGGCCCCTCCAGTTCTTCCTGCCTTTCAGAACCAACCCACACGGGGCCCTGGGGCCTCTGCAGGGCCCCATGTGCACCTGCCAGGCTGTCCTGTGGACCCATTGTTCCTGCAGGGCCTACTTCTCCTGCACCCCGAGGCTTGGGCTTCCTTGGGAAGATGGGAGCGGGGGACCTTGGTGCACCATGCCAAGGTCCCTTACCATCTCATGTCCTGTGTATTCCTCCCACCCAAGTGAGCCAGGCAGTGGGGGTTCCCTGTGACATCTGAGGAAACTGAGGCCCTCAGTGAGTGAGCAGCAGGGTGGGGGCCTGGTCCCAGGACCCCGCTTGTCTCCTGTAACTCTGGGTCCATCAAGGCAGGAAGCCTGCAGCCAGTGGCTTCAACATCTGGAAAGGCTTTGGCTTCTAGGAGGTCGTGCATACAGGTGGGGAAGCCAGCGTGGTAGCAGGTCAGCGGTGAGAGGCGCACTGCCTCCTGGCCCCAACGCCTCTCCCCAGAGACTGCTCTTCTCCTGTGAAAGCCTGATGACTGTCTTGTGCAGACGTCCTGTGATGCAGACTATTTTGACATCAAGACAAAGTGTTTCAGAGATGGGATGATTCTTCAGAAACCCCTTTTCAAGATAATTTAAAATTGGTCCTCAGAAGGGCAGGCATGGGACTGACCGAGCCACCAGACATCCCAGGAAGGCTGGGGCCTTGAGGTGCCCAGGCCTGGAGTGAGTAGGCGTTGGGGGGAGAAGAGCAGGCTTCCCTCTGGGTCCTGGAGCAGGTCTCCCATGGGTGGGACAGACTCAGCTCGGGGGCGGGCAACAGAGAGCCACTTGTTGTAATGTATCCCCCCACCCTTTTTTCCTCGGAATCTGCCAAGTGCAGTTTCCTGGTCGGGAGCCCTTTCTCCTGGAGGGAAGGGTCAGTGGGTGGAAGAGACCCCTTGCTGTCTCTCCTCTGTCCCTTCTTTGCAGGGAAGCAGAGGGAGACCCTGTGCTCACGGCACTGAGTAGTCAGAGGCCCTGGGTATGCACGGCTGCTTTCTGAGCAGCCAGAAGCGGTTTTCAGATATAGAATAGATTCATAACGGATCTGCCCTAAGATACACATGTGTGTTATCTCTTTGTTTAGACTCTTAAGTCCTTGGAGCCTAGAGGCTGTTCTGTGCCCTCGGCACTCAGCATACAGTTTTTTGTATCCATCAGGTATAAAATAAATAAATGCATCAAAAGAGACTGGCGCTAATACGGTACTTTGCTCTCATTTTCTGCAGGTTTTCCTCTTGTGATCTGTATCATTTCAATAGTCTTTGCCATGGACAGTTATGGAACAAGTAAGAAGTAAGTGAAAGGGTGATTCCTGTGTTGGCAGGACTCCCGTGGGGAGGGTTCCCATGGCCCCAGCTCACTGGCTTTCTGTGTTCTTCTGGGGGAGGGGTCTGTCCAAGGCTGGCATCTTCCAGCCCTGACAGTTTCTTAAAAAAATGTGTTTTGGGCTTTCTCCCACCTTGAAACTAGCAATGAGGGGGTCCTCGTGCCTCCAGGACTGCATGGCCGGTACAAGTTTCTAATGGGAACTTTCCATCCATGCAGTTTTCTTAGACATGCTGTCTGGTCACCTGTGGAGCCCAGTTTTGTGTTGGTCAGCAAGTGCCTAGTTCATAAAAAGTCTCATTGAATTACAGCCGAGTGAACACAAGACTGTGTGAGTGTAGACCGGTGTGCACCCGCAGTGGGCCCCAAGGTTCTCGCGGGGGCGGCAGCAGATGGGACACTCTATGTTCTAGACCTCATGCCACTGTTTTGAAACTGCAGTTGGTGGGTCCAGAGTTGAATCAAGAAGAGGCTGGGTTGGTGCTGGGCAGCCAGGCCAGGTGTTTAGGTTCTAGAAAGTTGATTTCCTTTCCTCCCAAAGAGAAAAAGGCTTTAGCTCAACCATCTTTAGGAGGCTGTCCCCTCTCCTCAACAAAGCTGAGGAGTCACCGAAAGAGGACACCATGGAGAGAGTTTAAGAAGAGAGAGGGAGTTAAACTTGGTCATGACTTCAGCCTGAGATAATTTCTCAACTGAGTTGCTAAACTGGGAGGAATTTGGCTTATTCCACTTTAGGGCAACAATTTCCTGGAGATGAGGCTTTTAAAGAAAGTGCTGTCTGAGTGCATACTGAAAGAAGAATGATTAAACAACCATTGTTCTGGCCCATCCCTTGCAAGCCTGCGTGGTATCCGAAGTCAAGGCGCAAATTAAAAGAAGAAACTTCATCTCAGACACATCTCACTGGCATTTGCTCAGTTTCTTTCCATCTGAGAGTGCAGATGCTGGCCGCCTACAGCGTGTGGCTCAGCTCCAGGGTCTGAGTCTGATATAAGCCTCTCACCCACACACGTGCCTGAGAGCGAGGCAGTCTTGGCAAATGTCCGGAGGGTCACTGAGTGTCTGGTGGGAATGGGGGATCTGAAGATGCGTGTCCACTTAACACTCTGCATGACAACGGTGGAAAGCACAGGCTTCCTCTTGTAGAGTCATCACCCTCTCAGGGAGCCTGGGTCAGAGCTGCCCCTCTGTAGAGGGACCGCTGTACTCACCGTGTGTTTCCATGAGAGATGCCGCATCCTCAGACAGGAGGCTCTTCTCTCCAGGGTCTGGATTCCAGACAGGAATGAGCCTTTTACAGGCCCTGTCTCATGTCTGGGACACTTCATGTCTCCTGATCCAGGAGGTCTTGGGGGGAGGACTGGGATCAGAAAGGCAGGTGCAGGAGCATGGGCTGGGTGCCCTAACATCCCTGGGCCTCAGCCTCCTCCTCTGTAGGGCGAGCATCATCACAGCACCTGCCTCGGAGGGTGCTATGGAGTCACAGGGGATGATGTGTCTCTGGGTTTGCAGAGCTGGGGGCAGGGGCCATGCTCCTTGAGTAGGTGTGAGTGAGTGACCAGGTGACATCCACGTCCTGAGTCAGTGAGGATGTGTTGTGGGCCTGACCAGCTCCCAGCGGGTGTGCCAGGCCCCTGGGACTGCCCCCAGATCCAGGGAGGGATGTGTCTAAGGGATACCCGGGTTGTTGGCAGTTCTGAAGCTCTGGAGAGAAATGAGGTAGTAGAGGGCCTGGCAGTCCTGCCTGAGCCCCTGGAATCACATCTCAGAAGCCAGGAGGAATTTCACAACCTTAAAACTGGACCCTACATCCCAGACAAGGCTTCTCTGGAAATCAGAGCCGTGGCTGGGATCCGCTGGGACCATTCCTCTCAGTTGAGGGGGGCACTGCCAGGAGGGGAACTGACAGATAGCTGATGAGCTGATGAAGATGGTCAGTCCTGTGTCACATGATGCCTCTTCACTCCTCCAACAGGCAAAGGCCTATTTATTTATCATAATAAAATGAAAGCCTCTGTTGGATTTTGGCTAGACTCTGCAGAGATGGTGAAGTTTTTCACTAACTAGGTGACCTGTAAAAGCCTTCTTTTCCCTGAGCCAGTCTGCAGACCCAGAACGTTCTTCCCAAGAGTGAAATGCTCTTGAGATCGTGAGCAGGATACGGGCACGTCTGTTGGGATTGACGGTATTATGGTCACCATGCCCACATTGTCCCTGTCCTCTTGTGGATTCAGGGCCCCCGCGCGGGAGTGGGTGGGGTGATGCATTGATGTAACCTTCTGTGTCCCTCCACAGTTGCTGGCTGTCGCTCGGGAATGGCGCCATCTGGGCCTTCGTGGCCCCTGCCCTGTTCATTATCGTGGTATGTTCTCTGTCTTGCGGGTGCGGAGCTGGGTGGGGCTGGCGGTAGTGGAGTAGAGGAAGCACTGGGCTATGTGGAGATGGGGCTGGGATCCCTGGGAGTAATGTCCGAGGCTGTGGCAGCACCAGTCCTGTTACAGCCCCTCTTGTAGCCCGTGACCCAGAGCCTCATTACTCCAAAAGACACTTGGCAAGGTCAGCCATGTTTTCAGATTTAATGCAGACCAGATTAAGGCCCTTGGTGCTTTTCCCGCCAAAGCAACCAGTATGGGTGTGCACCCAGGTGGAGCAGTGCAGACCCAGCTGGTTCTTTTCCTTCTCACTGTTCTTTCATAATTTCCTCACATGCACATCTCCATGGTCAAGGAGATGCAGGATCCAAGGCTGCGTTAGGAAGTTTTAGTCAAAGCTCCCTGGGAACCACAGGTAGCAGAACTCCTGTGATTATGAAGGACCTACTCAGAGAGGTTGACAGAAATTGGGATTTATAAACTCATAGTCAGGAATGCTTGCCATGGCTGCTGGGTTCAGGATTCAGACATGGCCATCTCCACGTGTTTCTGGCTTCTCACATCTCAGCTCTATTTTCCTGTAAGTCGGCTCCATTCTTAGGCTGCCCCAGATGCTGGTAAGAAACTCTTAGGACCACACAAAATTTCAGTATCCATCTTGGGGGAAAAAACTCCTTTGCTCTTCTTGCTATTGTTCTGCTGACATGTCCCACAAAATCCTATGATTGATTCTCATCATTTCTAATGGGCTTGACTTGGAACTCTGCCCACCATTGACCCCCTCTCTCACTGAAGTCAGAGGAGCAACATGCTCTGATTGACCAGAGGAATGGAATGTTCTGACTGGGAAGCAGAATGTTCTGACTGGCCTGAGGAACAGACTGTCCTGATTGATCAGCCCTCCCTGTGGCCAGAGAAATGAAATGCTTTGATTGGCCAAAGCTCTGAAATGCTCTGATTGGCTAGACCTAGGTCACAGTTCTAACCCTGGGTCCTTGTACTTGGTTTCTGGTGAAGTTATTTAACATTAATGATAAAGGCTCAAATTTATAGAGATCTTTTAAGAAAGATGTTTTTACATTAAATGTCTCTTTTCCTTGCCCTTGAAATGGCTACTTGAAGAGATGGTGATTTCTGTTTTATAGAGGAGCAGATTGAATGATAAACTCCTGGCCCTGATTGCAGCTGTATTGCTTTAGGTGTCCCCTTCCTCTCCTCCTCCCCTTCTCCTTGCCGTCTTCCTCTTGGTATTCTCCTCCTCCTTCTCCCCAGGTGCTAGTAAACCAGCCTGAGCTCTCTTGTGCAGAAGAGGCTCAGTCCTGGGAAGCACGGGGAAATCAGACATGGCTGGTTCTGGGCATTCAGTGATGTCATCTGGTATCTCCTACTCAGCGCATGGCCCCGCTGCCTCCTTGCTGGCTCCATCTGGATCAGGCAGGCTTTCCTGGGGAGGACAGCTCCTGATGGAGCTGGCACCCTGACAACACTCTTCAGCTCAAGGTGGGGAGGGAGGCACTGCTCCCAGCAGTCCCCACAGAAGTCCCAGGGCAGATTCTGATTGGCTCCTGTGGGTCAGGTGCCTGTCCCAGAGCCAATCACGGAGGCTGAGATGGAGACAGATGGTTGTTTGGGCCTGAACCACATGACTGCTCAGGGGTCACCCCCTGAACTCCAGGGCCTGGAGGTGGGCGTTCTCAGGAAGCCCTGTGAGGAGGGGGCTTTGGGGAGAGGGGAACAGCATCCTTGCACCCTGCTCAGTATTTGGGGTCTGGTCAGGGGTGAGGCATCCCCATGCTGTCCCAGTCAGAGCATCTCTCCCCACAGGTGTTGGGGGCTGACACCAGGAAACCTCCCCCACAACCCTCCTGCCCACCCTGAGCATCCAGAAAACACTTCACACTCTGGGCTGAGACTCCAGAGCATGCTCTCCACACACCCGCAGGGTGGGGTCAAGGCTGTGTTTATTACCTTTCCAAAGGGTGCTGTCTTTGAAGCACCCTGGGCGGCCCTGATACTGAAGGCAAGGGAGGGGACTCCAGCCGGAGACAATTATGCGTTTGGTGTCCTCATTCATCACCTCCCAATCCTGATGACAAACCCAGCTTCCCATGTCACCAGTGATGGCGGTGAGAGAACGGACTTAGAGAGGGTCTGTGGATGGCACTTGAAGCCCACCACCCTGCTCCCCTCCCCCACGGGGATATTTCCTAAATATTGTGAAGCCAGCCCCCCTTTCTCTCACCCCCTGCTCCCTTCCCCAGCTGCTGAGTTGAAATCTTCTTTTGACTTTGTTGCATGTTCACTGGCACGGACTGAAGCCATGGGCCCTGGTGGTTAATTAGAAATGTGTCCAAGGGAAGATTCCTGAAGATGTGGCTTCCTGCTTCTTAATTAAAATTCCATTCAGGCATCCTCATGCCACATGAGGTGCAGCAGCATCTTCTTGGTAAAGGGTTTCCGGAAGGGCAGAGCGGGGGCTTCACCGTGGTGTTCTGTTTGGGACCCGAGGGAGGGCGAGTGGTGCCAGCCCTGCACACGATCCCCTCATTCTGGCTGCACTGACTCGCTTCCCTCCATGCCCATCTCCTTCCAGGTGATGTGGGCTCTGGGGCGTCCACAGGTACAAGCAGGAGATGGGGAGTGGGGGGTGCTGCAAGCCTCCTGGATCCCCAGTGGTCTCAGCGCTCAAGCGTCTGTGCCAGAGGAGAGGTGGGGCTGCGCTCCCAGGGGGGAGGATCCACATGGAGCCCTGGTGGGAGAAGTGGGCATCAACCAAGTGCCCCTCCTAATACTGTGCCCCTCCTGCCCGGGGTGGGGGGGTGATCTGTATGGATGTGGACCAGACTCAGAAGAGGAGGGCCCAGGAGTGCATCCCCAGTTCCCTCAAGCAGGACAGTGGGGTCAGGGGTTGCTCCATCCCCCACAGACCACACTCCTGTCTGCAATGCCCATGCCGCCCTGGCCACAGACTCCCTGGGTCCTGACGCTGTCCCTCTGTCCTCAGCTCCTCTGTCTCGCAGAAGCCAGGGTCCCACGCACCCATCTCTGATTGCTGGCTCCCTTGTGCTTGGGTGTTTTCTTTCTTTATCCGTCACGGATGGTCAGAATCATGTAGCAGGGTCACCTCCATGAGGGAAGGGGGCACAGCCATCTCTGCAAGGCCAGGGCGACGCACACCTGCTCTGTGAAGGCGGTCTCCTTCCAGGAAGGGCCGCCAGGTTGGGGAAGGGACGGGACTGTCATCTCAGGTGTCCATCCTCTGCAGGAACTCTGAGCTCTGAGCACGGACCAGCGTTCTTCAGTTAATTGCTTTCAGCTGTGGGAGGTGGCACGTTATTGTGGTGACGGGTCCCTGAGCTTTCAGTCCAGGCTGTCCCCTGTCCCAGGGCTGTGTGAAGACTGTCTACAGTCATGTTACACCCGGCCTTTCACAGGAAGACAGAGGCCCCCATGAGCGACCTGGCAGGCACTCTCATCTCCTGCTCCTGGGGTCAGGGAAGACCCTTCACTTTGTCACTCAAATGGAGACACAGGCTGACTGACTCCAGTCCCCCAACAATTAAAGCCTCCTGGTCAGAGCATGGATGGTGGGCAGGGGTGGAAGGGAAATAGTTGAATGTTTAACTCCCCCCTCCCTGTTCTCTCTCTTGAGTGCTGACCTCACTCCCCAGGTCTGGAAGGCCTGGCAGCATCACCCCTTCCCAGTCTCCCCGGGTGATCTGAGTGTTTCATCTGACTTCAGTCAGTGACAGTGGGGGATCCAAGGCTTCCCTGCCTGGATCCTTCCCCCTACCCACCGCAGCGTGGGGTCTGGCTGCAGCAGGGTCCCCGCACCCCAGATCCTCCAGGATCACCGGAGCCCCACTGTCCATCCTGGGGGGTATTACCTCCAGCCCCACCCCAGCCCCTCTCCTCAACATCAGCACGAGGACTGCAGTTCTCAAACTTGTTAGTAAGGGAATTACTGGGGAACTTGGGAGCAGTTCCCACCTTAGAGGTTCTAGATTTACTGGATGTGGGCTCCAGGACTTTTCAGAGCTCCAGGAGATTCCACCGTGGAGCCAGCTTGAGGTTGAGGAGGGCCAGGGGAAGTCAGGGAGCCCTGGATGATGAGGAGGGCAGTGTAGGCCTAGAACTGTTTGGCGACTTCGCAGTCGAGTGCAGGGTCTGCCGGCGGTGGCCCACGTGGTGAATCCTATGCAGGAGCACAGGCCATTACTTACAAGTCATCTGCAGCGGCTGTCACACTGAAGCCATTGAGTTGAGTTGTTTCAGTAGAGACTGTGAGGCCTAGAAAGCCAAAACTATTTGCTACTTGGACCTTGAGAGAAAAATCATGCAGCCCCTGGGCTGGAGGACGCAGTGGAGGGGTCCAGAGGTCCAGCCTCTCTGAACCTCAGGGTTCACGCTGGCCGGGGGTGGGTGCGTCTCATGTTCCTTGTCTCCTCTGAGGACCTGCGGTTGTGCGTGTTGAGTTGTTCCCCATTGTTCAGAGGCCCCCTGAAGACAGCAGTTTTCAGGATCACAAGTAGTGCTTGGCCCCATTGTGTAAAGTGTGCACAACTCTGTCTGGGTGCGGGTTCACATGAGTACGTCTGTGGGAAAGAAATGTCTGGACCGATGCAATGGGATACAGTTCCCTCCAGAGGGATTCCTGTCTGGGGGCTACCTGCTTGCGTATCCCATGCATATAAGAAACATCTGGCAATTTAAAACTAAAATACTTTGGCAAGGTGCAGGTTCATGTTGGGACATGTGGTTTCTGTGTGTCCTGGTGAGGTTGGTCTTGGAGGGGCAGGAACCTGGGGGACAGAGATTGTCACGGTGATGCCTGCAGGGCCCATGGCGGGGGCCGGGGAAGGGCAGATCCAAGCCCCTTCTGGGAACAGCTCACCCTTCACCCCACTGGCAGATACTGACCCGTCCTCCCAACTGTCCCTTCACAAACCATCCTACCTGATTATGAAGGGACATGGATGTCATTCCATGG